GTCAACCACTCAATAATTAAAAACCAGCCGAAGAACCAATTAGTCTACCTATGATGGACGGACAATTAAGCAACATGCACTAGTTAATGGTACTCCCACGTACAGTAGTTAAGTATAAACATTAAATAAGAAAGGTCATTAACTTTTTTATTAAGCAAGAACACAAGTAATATTAACAAGAAACACAAATAAACAAAGAAACAGCATTAAAGTCATCTGTTAAGTAAAGAAATAATATCATTCTTTCTTAAAACAACTCAACACAACACAACGCAACACAACACAACACAACGCAACACAACGCAACACAACGCAACGCAACGCAACGCAACACAACGCAACGCAACACAACGCAACACAACGCAACGCAACGCAACGCAACACACCACAACACAACACACCACAACACAACACACCATGCTAAGAGATTCAATTATTTTTCTAAACATCTCATTACACTTTCAAGAAAAAACCCACAATAAATAACTAAAAATAAATCCAGATTAACGACACTAACACCTAACTACCATCACCACTACTACCACCATCACCACTACCACCATCACCACTACCACCATCACCACTACCACCACCACCACCACCACCACCCAGTGTACCCCCCCCATCTGAGTTTCTTAATCACCACTCGCAAATTATGGCTAAATAAATTCCTATGATCGATCGAGGGTTTTGTGTGTGTGTGTGTGAGGAGTGCCCCGTGGCCAGGCTGTTATTAAAGATCTCGCCTCCGTCTCCTCCTCACGTGGTTCTTACACATTTTTTTGTTCGGGGTGACTACCTATTGTTGCTTTAAAGGTGACTTCTTGGCAGGTGATGGATGGTGGCTAGGTGAGTCACAGGTTATGGTTGGTGGTAAGGTGAGTCACAGGTGATGGTTAGTGGTTAGGTGAGTTACAGGTGATGGTTAGTGGTTAGGTGAGTTACAGGTGATGGTTATTGGTTAGGTGAGTCACAGGTGATGGTTAGTGGTTAGAGTGGTAGGTGAGTCACAGTGGTGGTGAGTAGTGAGGTGATGGTTAGTGGTTAGGTGAGTCACAGGTGATGGTTAGTGGTTTGGTGAGTCACAGGTGATGGTTAGTGGTAAGGTGAGTCACAGGTGATGGTGAGTGGTTTGGTGAGTCACAGGTGATGGTTAGTGGTAAGGTGAGTCACAGGTGATGGTTAGTGGTAATGTTAGGTGAGTCACAGGTGATGTTTGTACTGATGGTTAGTGGTGATGTAGGTGAGTCAGGTGATGGTTAGTGGTGATGGTAGGTGAGTCAGTGATGGTTAGTGTGTGTACCGGTGAGTCCTGGAGTGATGGTTAGTCAGGTGACTGGGTGATAAGTTAGGTCACAGGTGATGGTTAAAATCTGCAGGTAATGGTATGACTGCAAGTGATGGTTAGTGGTGATGGTGGGTAGGCGGTGATGGTTAGTGTGGCGGTGGTGAGCCACAGGTGATGGACTGATGTGGTGAGTCACAGTGATGGTTATGTGTGATGGTGGGAGTCTGATGGTTAGTGTGGTGATGGTAGGTGAGTCACAGGTGATGGTTAGTGGTTAGAGTGGTAGGTGAGGTGAGTCACAGGTGATGGTTAGTGGTGATGGTAGGTGAGTCACAGGTGATGGTTAGTGGTGAAGGTGAGTCACAGGTGATGGTGAGTGGTTAGGTGAGTCACAGGTGATGGTTAGTGGTGATGGTAGGTGAGTCACAGGTGATGGTTAGTGGTAATGTTAGGTGAGTCACAGGTGATGTTTGTACTTTAGGTAAATCATAGGTGATGAAATTGTTGGTACCTTAGGTGATCCTCAGATGGTGACTGGTTAAGTTAGGTGATCTGCAGGTGATGATGACTGATACCTTACCTTAGGCGACTCCCAGGTGATACTCAGGTGATGACTGGTACTTTAAATGATCCCCAGGTGGTGGATGGTACGTTAGGTGACCATCAGGTGATGACTGGTACCTCAGATGACTTCCAGGTAACCCCAGGTGATGATTGATAATTTAGGTGACTCCAGGTGATGACTGGTAATTTAGGTGACCTCCAGGTAACCCCAGGTGATGATGGAACGCTCCACTTACGACAACAACTTCCAATCAGTACCTGGAACACACAGGTGAGACCATCAAGACTAGGTACAAGAAGATGAGTAACTGGTTCACTAATTTGGCCATTCCTTAACTCCTCTAGTGATTGGTTGACCTGGTTAGATTATCTCGTTAGTTTACCTGGCTGGTTTATTTAATTGGTTTAAATGGCCGGTTTACCTGGATAGTTTGTCGAATTAGTTTACCTGGATGGTTTATTAGATGACTTCCGACGGACAAGAAACTGACTGACTGACTGACTAGCTGACTTTCTAAGAGTCAACAGCTATCGGGTTAACAGTAGGTACATCAACGACAACATAAACAACAACAACAGTAGCGCAGGACAAGACATCAACCACGATAAAACACCTCCAGCTGAGTCATTTAATCCCCCAAAACAGGTTAAAGACACGAAGAAAAAAAAAAATCCCACCTTACCTCGACCCCTACCATGACCTTTGACCCCCTCCCCCCTCCCCCCTTTATTCCCCTTCCTCCCTTCAACGACATATCATTACTGTTGTCATTTGGCGTAATATCACCTGATTACTAAAGGCACACCTGTTTCACCTGGCCAATTACCGCCATTATTTGTGTCATTATCTCATTTAGATCAGCATTTAATATATGGTCCCTTACCCCGCATCCATTTAAAGAGACGAGTCAGGATTAATTTAGAGAGACGCTTTGTCGTATTACCGTGGAGGAGGAGGAGGAGGAGGAGGTGGAGGAGGAGGAGGAGGGTGGAGGAGGAGGAGGAGGAGGAGAAGGAGAATTGGAGGATGAGGAGGAGGAGGAGGAGGAGGAGGTTGAGTATTTACCACGGTTCTTCGAGTTCCTTCCTGCACCACTTCACAAGACACACCACCCAAACATCTTGATAACACATTAAGAGGGAGAATTATCGAGGTAGTCTGTAGCAGCGGGTCGTAATTTTCCTTCTCATCACCACCACTTGAACGATTATTATTTACAGGTGTTTTTACTATCATCATCATCATCATCATTATCATCATCATTATTATTATTATTATTATTATATCATATTTTCATTAGGTTATTAAAGACTTCACCCTAAGGAATCGATATAGATGTTATTAACCAGTGTTTTGTAGTTCATTAACTGTTCTATATTTCGGTCCCGTTAATGAGGCTTTACGTCTAATAAGTCAATTATCGATTCATAAAACATAATTGATACTGAAATTCCTCCGGTAATGTTCAATTGTGTTTGTGTTCTATGCAGGTAAAAAAATGAAGCTTTTGAAATATATGAAATAATTTACTTATATTACTGTATTTTTAAAGCGATTAGATCCTCTTTTGTTTACCCTTAACAAAGAAAAATTCCCAATAATTCTTTAATAAAATAAATAATAAGTTGACAACACCCATGTGTATAAAATCGACAGACAACGATAGACAAACAGGTCGACATACAGACAAGAACACGCGTACAGTAGACAGAGACAACAGACACACACACACACACACACACACACACACACACACACACACACACACACACACACACTCACACACGTCCCTTAGTAGAATCAAAATGGTTTAATTTGTATCAGGAGGTAATTCTAGGGATCCGATGAACACTTTAGAGGCAGCAATTACGGGGTGGAGAAGTGCTGGTAGTGGTAGGAGTAGGTGGAGGAGTTGGAGGTAGGTGAAGGAGTGCTGGTAGTGGTTGGAGTAAGGAGTACTGGTAGGAGTGGGTGAAGGAGTGCTGGTGAGTGGTGGAGTAGGTGGAGGAGCGCTGGTTGTGGGGGGTAGGAGTGGTAGTGGTAGGGTGGAGGAGTGCTGGTTGTGGTAGGAGTAGGTGGAGGAGTGCTGGTAGTGGTCGGAGTAGGTGGAGGAGTGCTGGTTGTGGGAGGAGTAGGAGTACTGGTAGTGGTAGGAGGAGGTGGAGGAGTGCTGGTAGTGGTAGGAGTAGGAGTACTGGTAGTGGTAGGAGTAGGTGGAGGAGTGCTGGTTGTGGTAGGATTAGGTGGAGGAGTGCTGGTAGTGGTAGGAGTAGGTGGAGGAGTGCTGGTAGGCATAGCGGTAGTCACAGAGAAACACCCGATACCTGTAATATACACGACTGTAATCCATTAAGTTGTAAATAATCCGGAAATCGTTTGGATCTTCGTGTTTTTGTTTCCCTGTTGTTACGTCAAAAACCATATGGCAAAGACTCGGATCGTATCACTTGAAGATTAGCCCCAAAGACTTATTTCACCTGATGATTAGACACCCTAACTCTTCCTGGGAGAGGGCTAATCTTCAGGTGTTCCCCAGGTGAGACTCTTGAAACCCAACATCTATAGTGCCGGTCATCTATACTAATGACCGGCGTTTTACTTATGAGAGAATATCCGGTTAATTGCATAAGAAACATTTAACAAAACTGTAAATAATTCTTGGCCAAACTAAGTGAGGCTGAAAGTATCATGATAAAACCTGATAGGAACTTAAGTACCGGAGAGAGACTCGGACACATAATTAAGGTAGAGAAGGAGAGGATTTATCCACTGGCCGGCTCCTTAACTTTTATTATGTTGAGAACTAGACCTGAGTTAGCAGTGAGGAGTGATGTTATGGTGGCGCTGTAGTGAACGACGTGACGTGGTTGTGTGTGTTGGCGGGTGGGGGAGGTGTGTGATGCCAAGTAGTTGTTATGGTTGAGGGGGGGGGATAAGGACATGTTTATAGGGTAATTCATTAATGTTGTGTTTGTTCAATAGAAATTATCTCGGGGTTGTGTGTCGGTGACTAACTCAATACATAAACAGAATCTCTCTCTGACTTGGTGTTTCATTGAAAAATAACTTAAGGTTGTAGCATTAGGGCAGTGTTTTATTTTCCTCAGTAGAACCTTATTTCTAACTTGGTTCTTTTTCCTCCGCCAGGTGTGGTTCCAGAACCGGCGGGCCAAGTGGAGGAAGCAGGAGAAGGTTGGTCCGTCGACTCACCCGTACGGCGCCTTCCCTTCGTCAGCACCTCTGCCCCTCCAGAACCCTGCCCTCCCTCCCACCATCTCCAGCCCCTTCGCCGGCCTCGGCTACATCAGGAAGCCGCATAGTTTTGATTCGCCTCCAATTTTACCTCCGTCGGCGTCCAGACTGCCGTCATCTTACCTACAAGCAGCGGCGGCGCAGCTGTTGCCGGGTGCGGGCTACCTGGCAGGTATGTCAGGGCTGCGGGAACTGCACCAGTACCGCGCCGGCCTCATGGCACCGCACCACTACCCGCCTTCTTTCACACACCTCCTAGCGGGGCTCTCCTCCAGACCCAAGCTGCCAGAGTCAGACTACGCCGCCCTCCTGGCCTCAGTCCCTGCCCTGCAGCCGCCTTTGGTCGCCCCACCACCACCCATCACGCCCCCAGAGGTATCCAGAGTGAGCGGGACCACGCGGGGGCGCTCGTCACCTCCGGCGGCACCCGCGGGCGGGGTCGATCAAGATCGCCGGGCATCGTCCATCGCTGAGCTGCGACTTCGGGCTCGGGAACACGAACTGCGCCTGGAGATGCAGCGTAAACACGGCGATGTTGTGACGTGAGATGGGGGTTTCCCACACCTCCCTTCTCTACCGCACCACGCCCACCCCCGCCCACCAGAGGTCCGGGAATCTTCAGAAACAGAATGTCTATAATCACACTAGAATGTTGAGAATTATAGGATGTTACGAGACAGTGGTTACCCAAAGTAGCGATGATTCAGTAACTCTTACGGTGAACTGTGAGGCAGTGGTTATTTAAGTAAACAATGAAATATTACGTCAGAGCGAGTAGTGGGGCAGTGTTCCCACAGGTAACAATGAAACAATGTATACTCCAGCAGGCTGAGAGGCAGCAGAGCTCGTGAGTGCCACCTGCTCCCCTCGTTGATGCTCCAGCTGTCGTCACTTAAGGTGCTTCTTGTGAACTCCATGTATTGCAGTATTTAAGTTTTGTGTTTACCTTTGTTGCTGTACTGATCCGTCCATCAACTGTGCTAACAATACTAACTTAGTGTACCTACCTTATAAGTACCTCAACCCTAGCCTAAGTCTCCCTACTAAATCTTGAAATAATCTTGACCTTGACTGTAGGTGGGCCAGCAGCGCCCCGGGCAGACCCTGTGTGTGGATAGTGAACTTTGTCCTCTGTGCTCTTATTTCAATACAGTTTTACAACATGTGATGATGTTTTAGTCACCTTCTCTCTCTTCCTACAAAAGACCACCGAAATATAAATATTATTTGGAAATTGTTAAATATAACAACACCTGATAAGTGAAATTATTTAAGAAAATTTTACCAAAGAAAAAAAATTTAGTTTCTTTCATGTTAATTTCCTCAACCTTTTTTTTTAGTGTTTCTGATCTTGAGGAAAATTGTGAGAGAAAGCCCAGCTGTGTGATGATGCATTTGAGGGTGAAATCACTCTATATATATATATATATATATATATATATATATATATATATATATATATATATATATATATATTCATTGTAAATTTAGAGTTAAAAATATATTTATTTCATACATAAAATTTGTTATCAGTAATTAATAACCACCAACCACAACTGGATGATGTGCCTTCTCAAATTATGCAACGTGCTGATCAGACTATAATCAACAGACTACCAGCAAAAATTATATATATATATGTATATATATATATATATATATATATATATATATGCTATATATATATATATATATATTTTTTTTTTTTTAAGACAAGTAATAAACTTCTTTTAGAAATTTAAAGAATATTAAATGAGATAAACAAACAAAAATATTAACAATAACTATAAAGAAAAATTAACATTACTGTTAACATTTTTATAGATAATTAACATTTCTCCTCGCAACAGAAAGCAGAGAAGTGGGTTAAAATGAATGAACGTGAACTTAGAATACGTGTTAAGTTTTATACGAGTGATGCCTTGGAGATTAAGGCAGTGAACCGTATATGACTTGAAAACAAAGACCTTAGTTGTTGAAGCACAGTAATAACATTATAACAACAACCTAACCTATAAATTTTTGGTTAGGTTAGGTAAATCTTACGACAAAATAAACTGATGTGCCGAATCCTCACGTAATCTAAATATTCTACATCAAATCAGCATAGCATTCCCCCCACAGCCTGGCATCACCTTCCTCCTTCCCCACACCTCTCCCCTCCCACCCAAACACCACCCCACAGCCTGGCGTCACCTCCCCCTCCCCCATACACCACCCCACAGCCTGGCGTCACCTCCCCCGCCCACACCCCCCTCCCCACAGCCTGGCTTCACCTCCACCCTCCCACCACCCCACAGCCTGGTGTCACCTCCCCTCCCCATACACCACACCACAGCCTAGTGCCTCCCCCCCCCACACACCACACCACAGCCTGGTGTCACCTCCTCCCCCCCACACCCCCCAGCCTGGCGTCACCTCCCCTCCCCACACACACCACCCCACAGCCTGACGTCTCCCCTCCCATACACCACCCCACAGCCTGGCGTCAGCTCCACCCCACCCACACACCACCCCACAGCCTGGTGTCACCTCCCCCTCCCGATGCACACCACCCCACAGCCTGGTGTCACACCACCCCCACCTCCACCCTCCCCACCACCCCCTACACCTAGTCATCTCCCCCCCCACACACCACCCCACAGTCTGGCGCACTTCCTCCCACCCCCCCTCCCCACAGCCCTGGCACCTCTCCCACCCACCCACACACCCCCACAGCTCCTGTCTCTCCCCATACACCACCCCACAGCCTAGTCCCCCTCCCCACACACCACCCCACAGCCTTGCCCCTCCTCCTCCCCACACACCACCCCACACACCCCCACACCCACAGCCTGGCGGCACCTCCCTCCCCATACACCACCCCACAGCCTGGTGCCACCCTCCACACCCACCCCACAGCCTTGCGTCACCTCCTCCTCCCCACACCCACAGTCACCTCCCCCACACACCCCTCCCACACCCCCCTCCCACCCACACACCACCCCACAGCCTGGTGTCTCCCCTCCCCATACACACCACCCCCACTAGTGCCCACGCCACCACACACACCCCACAGCCCACACCCACAGCCTGGTCCCCCCCTCCCACACACACCCCACAGCCTTGCGTCACCTCCCTCCTCCCCACACCACCCCACAGCCTAGTGTCACCCTCCCCTCCCCCAGTGTCCCCACACCCCAGCCACCTCCCTCCCCCCACACGCCACCCCACAGCCTGCCTGGTGTCACCCTCCCCCACACCACCCCATTGCACCCCCCCTCCACACACACCACACCCCACAGCCTCACCTCCCCTCCCCCACCCCCCCCACACACACCCCCAGCCCCAGCCCCCCTCCCACACACCACCCCACAGCCCACCCCCCCACACACCCCACACAGCCTGGTCCCCTCCCCACCACCCCAGCCCTCACCTCCCCCACACCACACACCACAACCACCCAACAGCATCGTCACCCTCCCACACACACACACACACACACACACACACACCTCCCCACAGCCTGGCGTCACCTCCCCATCACCCCACCCCACCCACAGCAGCATGGCGTCACCTCCCACTCCCCCACACACCATCCCACAGTATGACCTCAACCCCCCCCACACACACCACCTCCTGGCATCATCTCCTCCCCCACCCCACCCCACAGCCTGGCGTCAACTCCCTCCTCCCCACACAGCACCCCACAGCCTGGCGTCACCTACCCCCTCCCCCACACCCCACTCCACAGCCTGGTGTCACCTGCCTCACGCCATGGAGCAGAGTGTTGATACCCTAATGGCCATAAAAACTTCAACTAACACACGACACTGAAGCAAATGTTAAGTGATATAAGTAAGTGACCCACTGTGAAGAACAACTTGGGTACAGATACTTACAAAGAGTTAAGTGACTCAAATAAATGACTCGGTGTACAATAACATGGATATATAGATACTTTGAAATTTATTTAACTAATCCAATGTAAAAAAAAGGGTACAGATGTGAACAAAATATAACGATGTAATTTTAACTTTAAGGTATAGACATAGAATCATCTCACCTTCCGGAGCTACAGTGATTCTACCGGCACACACACACACCTGGGATTACTTCACTGGGGAGGGGTGGGGAGAGGAGGGGGGGAGGTGAGGAGGAGAAGGAGAGGAGTGAAGTGAAAGGATAGTGGTGGTTAGTGGAGTGGTAAAGTAGAAATATTAAGAATCGTGGGTGATGGGAGGTGAGGAGGAATGTGGCCGGCTGGTGGTGCACTATTGCCTGGTTATAAAACACGATATACATCTTTACTACTATTAAGACACGTGATGATTCTTACCTGGAAGGAACGTCCGCCATGTTGAATTTCATTGCGGAATTTATTACGTGTTACTGAATTTTAATTTATTCCACTTTGATGGTTAATTAACACACACACGCACACGCACACACACACACACTAACATTTATATTATATCGCAAAATCACTTAAAAATATCTAATTAAGAGACTAGTTGGTAAAAATTATTGACATGTGAAATAAAATATCACTTAGATTGACGGTCATAAATTATATCACTGAGGTCATGGTACGTCTGTCTGTCTGTCTGTCACATTGTGGTTATATTATTTATGGTGAAAATATTAAATGTGTACCCCAAGCTGCACTACATATAAGAGACATAGCGTTGTAGCTTTCACTTTTACATATATGTGTGTACAGTACAGTCCAGCTCACACACCTGTCTCGAATTTTCAGGTTTGTTATCAATACCGTGTACTTCCACAGGTGATGGTCCCACACAGGTAAGCCACATTACCCCACCACGCATCTGTTGACTGCAGGTGTTCATATTCAGTGGGGCGTACAAGCAGGTGTCAAATAACATCCTGTCACACCTGTGGCCTGACACATCATACATGTAACATGAAGAAGGACACGTGGCCCTTGATTCCTAACATGACTAATTAATTTCAATATGACTCGAATAAAAATTTTAATGATATATTAATTGGTAATATTAACACACTCGCACGCATATATGTAGGCACACACATATACACACATGCTACATCCTTGACCACCGAAGGGTCAAGACGTACCTGGCGCTCCTCTCAGAGCAGCCAGGTCAACTGTTATGTTGGCCCATACCAACCCCCTCCCCTGAACCCTCCTCCCCACCGGAATATCAACAAGTTCTGCCAGAAGTTACTATTTCATTTGGAAAAGGAATGGAACCAGTGTTAAACAGAGGTGAACAGTGGTGAACAGTGCTTAAGTCAGTGAGAACAACTCAACAGTAACAGTGGTACCCAAGTTGACCTTCACACAGTGAGGTCCCAGGTACCCAGTGATAACGTGAGACCCAACAGCCAGCGATGTGTTAATCCGTCTACGATAGGAAGGCCTGGGACCACACCTCACTTATAGAACACCGTCTGTGAGGGAACTACTACACCACGTGAGGCCCCTCATAACACCATATGTGAAGGAGTTACTACACCACGTGAGGCCCCTCATAACACCACCTGTGAGGGAATTACTACACCACGTGAGGCCCCTCCGCCCCTCTGTGAAGGTGCTACCCGTGAGGCCCTCATAACACCATCTGTGAGGAATTACTACACCACGTGGGGCCCTCACTTACCATCTATTGAGAATTCTACACCGTGAGGCCTCATAACACCATCTGTGAAATTACTACACCGTGAGGCCCTCATAACGCCATCATGAGAGGGTGCACTACGCCCGTGGGAGCCCTCATAACACCATCTGTGAGAGTGCTACCACACACCACGTATTGAGGCCCCTCATAACACCATCTGTGAGGGAACCACTACACCACGTGAGGTCCCTCCTAATACCATCTGGGAGGGAGTTACTACACTACGTTTTTGCTGTTCAACACCTACATTAATCTGAATGTTCACTGTATGTTCCTTTACCTTTCTCTAATGAAGGCTTTTGTTAAACCACCAATGTATGTAATAAGTCATTTATGTCCAATGTATATTTTCAGCCTTCGGGCTGCAGAACTTTTTCAATAAACCGTTAATTATTATTATTATTATTATTATTATGCACTCACACACGCACATACGCACCCACGCACACCTACGCAAACACAGCTCCTACTGCCTTGCTGTCACTCGGAATCGAGTATGACGATCATCACCTATGATACAA